CCATTCTGTCGCAAAGAAGACTTTATATGAAATGCAAGGTGTTCGATCCCACCCCAAAACTTTCGTGGGTCTCAATCACTGCCTTCAGCCACACTTTGTTGGAAGCCCCTCGATCTCGAGAAAGATGTCTACAGCGAATTCCTTGTGCATAACGGCTAGAAATGACGTGCAGTGTCGACCAACCTGCTTTTGATATAGACGTCCTGGGCCTTTAACAGTTTACCCATCGGTATTGTGCTTCTGATATACCCATCCAACAATTTCAACAGAAACGAGGATAAACTAATGGGCCTGAAGGCATTGGCACCGACTTGAGAGCATGGTCTAATCTAACGCATGTCGATTTCAAAGTTTTGTATGAATTCAGTGCCCAGGTAAGGTGATGTTCATCCAAAAGGTCCAAAAAGGCTGAATAACCTTATTGCAACTTTCCTGTGGCACTTATTCAACGGAATGTCAGCATCCTGGAGTAGTCGTCGTAGAGCTTTCCATACAGAGAGCAAGTGAATAGTTTCTCTAGAGACTAGCATAACGTCAAGGGCCTCCGCTCTGTTAGCAGTAACTGAAGTGGGAAAGTTTCCACTATAAGAGGTTCTCACTACATACAAAATCGAAAAGTTTAAGATCGCTTGGATTTGTGTCAGAGCTTCTTCCGACAGTGTGCCTAGAATTGGCAACCGTGGCGTTTATAATGCCGGCTCTTCTGGGCTTGGTCTCTGCCAGAACTCTCCTCAGCAAATCCGGTGATGGTTGCTCCGCATTGTCTTGCGGCGCATATGTCAAGACAAGACAGTGTTTTTCGGTACTGTCTTTTAGCCTAGCACTGACGACATATTCGTTGCTGAAATTGGGTAAAAGCAAAACATTAAGGCCGTTTCTGGCCAACAAACAAGCTCTGGTCATAGTTGTATTATGTACTGCCAGGAGCTTGTGGCTCTTTGTCCTTAATTCAGAGATACCATTGCTGCTTAGCCATGGCTTTCGGATAAGGAAAATATCGGCTTCGTCTCGTCCTAGGCGCGGGAGAGCGACGAAGTCCGCCTTTGCGTGCTGGAGATTAATTTAAAGGATCTTCATCCTACAAACTTTTCTCCAAGATTTGAAGGATCTTTATCCCATCAACTCTTCTCCAGCATCAATGCGAGTTCCGCACCATCGTCTTTACCGAACCGATGCTCATGCAAACGCTCGAGACTGAGAGTGGATCCATCAACAGGCGATCCGCCCTCCTTACTTATCCGAGTGAATACAGACGCTCTCCGTTTTGGACCCTTATACTTTTTGCTCCGGCATTACTGAAGGCAGCGTAATATCCTAAGACCTTATCATACTCCACTGTTGGGTGAGAAGAAATGGATTGCAACAGCGCAACATCTCTTCGATTTCTTACGGGTTGGAAGGTTCGGCGGTTTTTCTACTATTGGAGTTTCGTCTGGGGTAGTTTTGTCGTGATCACCTGTGATACATTGGCAGTCAACATGTTAAAGGAAGTTAATACTTTGTATGTGCATCTTTGCCCCTATTATGGTTTGCAGTATTTTATTCATAGAAAAGATGTGCTGTTAACTCTGCGCTCTCATAACTTCGTGTCTCCTTATCCCATAGATGTTCAACCACGTTGTAACGTTGTACAGCAACCGTTCCTTCACTACTACTGATTTGGATCGTATTCCTAAATAAAGCAGTAGCCGACTTTTAAGTTGGTTGTAACTGCTGACGGAGCCAAATTATTATTTAATATTGCTCAGTGGTTCACTCTTTTCGTCATTCCATTATTAACATCACACAATGCAGCTCCTCCATGCTGAAAGTCATATTAAATTTTCTATCTTTACGCGATTAGCTTTACGCCATATAAATCCAAATAAATTAAATTATGACTCTTCGGTAAAAATTAGTGAATCCTAAAATTTGTTATCATACTAGATATACTCTTTGGAATATAATAAACGTTTCGCAATATTTCTCTTTAATGTTTGTGTGAGTGATGTATAAGCTCTAAATCGGGTGATTGCAAGAAGTTCCGAAAAGTTTGAGGGTGGAGTTTTGCAAGGCCATCTTATTCCGACATTGTAAACTCTTTTGGGCGTGTCAATACTATCAAGTCTTCCAACTCCACCAATCTTTTTGAATTTAGCTATTTAGGCAAATTTAGCGTTTAGGCAAAAATAACGTTACCTACTTCATTTAAAGTGTTGCCAGTGTACGTGAACAAGATTTTTGGCTGCTCATAATTGAGACATTTTAATTTTTTGCAACTGTTAATCAAAATTGATTTATTGTTAAGTTTAAAAACTAAACAAAAAATATATAAGAATTTATTCATATCGCTACTTTTGGTTACAGTTTCCTCAAACTCAAAGCATCTATCTGCACAATTTTTTCGGTCACTGTTATGTTATGTTGCTAATATTACGTCAGTGTTATTTGTTGTGATCCCTCTTTTGTCTGGTACAAAAGTACTGTGGAACATTTATGGGAGTATAAGTTGTTTTCGTTTTAAGTAAAGAATCGTTTCGGTTTTTTTCTTTCACGAAATAAGATGAAGGAACATTACCACAAACTCTCCGTTTCCTTGCTGAGTGTGGAAAAGTATGTTCCTAGAAATAGACGATAAGGGTCTTTATTCTTGGAGTCCATACATTTTATTTTTACTGTTTCCAATGTTATGTTGCCTCTTCCAGTTTTTCACGAATTTTGCTCCATGAGCCCAACACTTTCAACCTCTTACCATATTTGTTTCAGTTAAAACATTTTGATTTTCTAAGGAACCGCACTGGGACAAAAGTTGAAATCAGTAATAGCTCAATATATTGAATTTCGACTACGCTTCAAACGGAAATTTTTTGAGGGATTGAGTTTTTGTCGATAATACCGAATTTCAAAAAGCAGTTGAGCTGAAATAATATCTTAAGATATCTCCGCACCAAAGTATTGAGACAAACGGGGATTGTAAATTTATTTTTTAGAGCTTTCGATCATAGCATTAGGCGTATTTGTTTGTGTTTATGGCATCTACGCCGTTCGGCTTCTGTATGCAAAAGCGCTTCTGATAGCTGCCTTGCAAGTTCTTAGTTTCGAACAGGTGATCCAAGTAGAGGTACTTTCTTCGATAGATTTTTTCGGTAGATCGCGCGTGTGTCGTGTCAAACTATCATGTTATTTTTGCTCAGTATTGTTTGGCATGATAAAAGACTTATGCCTGAACAATGCTTACAAATCGTTCAACTTTATAACGATGATTCACATTCTGTGAAGAATGCGTTGAACTTTGCAACGAAAATTCACGTTCTGTGAAGGATGTGTTTCAGGCACTTCACTTAACTTTTGGTCAACAGAATCGGTCTACTTCGCAACACCATCACCCTTCTTGAGACTCAGCATTCATTATTGAATAATGTTCTACTGAATAGACCACGTCCAGCTTGCAGTGAAGAAAATATAGCAGCAGTAGCTGAGAGTGTACAAGAAGACCTTCGTGAGACTTGGTGCATTTTATTTTGAGATCTTTAATGAAAATGGTAAAAAATACCGCTTGTGCAAGAACCCAACAGACATCGCTTCGCTCTTGGAAAGTTCCAAGAAGATACAACGTTTTCGACCCAAATTTTATTCAGCGATGATGCTCATTTCTTGCTCAATGGATATGTAAACAAGAAAAATTGAAGATATTCAAGTGCTGCCATTACATCCAGAAAAAAAACAACGGTTTGATGTGGTTTGTGGGCCGGTGAAATCATTGGTCTATATTGCTTTAAAAATGATGCCGTTGGGAGCATTTGGTTTCAAAAAGACGGCGCCACTTTCCACATATAGCTTTAGCCAATGGATTTATTGAGAGAATACTTCGGTGAGCACATAATTTCACGTTTTGGGCCTGTCGATCGGCGACCAAGATCGTGTGGTACCACATCATTGGTTTTTTTGTCACTTGCCTGTTACCAGTCAAAATGTCACATTTTAAGTTTCTGTGTTTCTTTTAAAAAAAAAAAATAGGGAACCTCGAAATGGTTTACCCAATAGTTTTCCCGCTGTGTAGATAATGCAAAGCGGACGGAACCATTGTATGAGAGAAAGCAAATATTTCTTTCATTTTTAGCTACAAATCATGGTAAGCCAAGTGAAACATTGTGATCTAAAGTTATTGAGAATGACAAAAATAATTATATTAACATATATTTATTGTTTTACTATTCAAAAATATGGTGTTATTTTTTCTTGCAAATTGCGTGTAAACCCAAATTAAGAAATCGCGTTTCATTTCTCACCATAGTAGTTTAGAGCAATATACTTATATATACTTACATGACCAAGCGATGCTGCAACATCTTTGACCTTTCAAAACCGATATTTCCGACCTGCAAATGACTTTCCAGTGAGCAGAGGGGTTTAGTACTTACTTTACTACTCTTTACTGCTCCTGATTGATTGCTTCCTTGTAATACTTTTCCATGAGTACGGTTATATGTTTTTCAAAAATAATCAGACATATGACTTACCTACATTAGTCTTTGTATTTAACGATTGGGGTATTCACAACCTGCCTTAAATCGTAAAGTCGTAAAATTTTAAGTTTTTACACTTGTTTAAAAAAAATTTGTTGTTGGATTACATACAAAAATGAGTTTACACATTTACAATTCACAATACTATGTTTTCAAATCGTTATAACTTATAACTTTAAGAGATATGTGAAAACCCTAATTTTTATTTAAACAAGTGTAAAAATTTAAAATTTTACGGCTTTATGATGCTTTAAGACAGGTTGTGAACGCCCCAGATATGTTGGTAACGGTTAAGTGACTTAGAGTATTGTATCTTACAACACTTTGCGGATTAATACGCGAAGATATTCTCGGATTTCAATCCAAAAATATATTCATAGCTTGCAAGATATTTTTTGTTGTTGTTGAAAGACTTGCAAAATTCTTATATAAATATATGAAATTGTTTTTTTAACTGTTTTGCTAAGTTTGTTCTTTTCTTTTTTTTTCGTTAAGAAAAACTAAATACAAAGGAGAATTTTATCTACGATATTGTTCCTACAGAACTTATCAAAGACAAAATAGATTCAGCTATTACTGTTGTCCCTCTAGAAGCGAATGATAGTGACATCAGATCTGCTAAAATCGAAGTATTGACACAGAAACAACCAAGGCAAACGAATCAAAGCAGTATGATAATTTCAACGCATTCAAAAATATTTCATGATCTAATAAACATAAGTGGTTCTGACATTACTGATACTGAAAAAAAATCTTACTGTAGTCCTATAAATACACCCAGTAAAAGTGAAGACATCAAGGATAAGAACGAATCTGATGGTATTTTAGCTACAATCCTAACAAATATCAATACTGGTGATGCTTCAACAGAAACTAACGTACTCGGATGTAATCGAATAAATTTCAATGAAGTCGTCTGTGAGGATGAACTAAATGGTTCAAAAAGTCATGAAATTCCAGGTTTAGTTTGCTTACCTCCGAGTAAAATACCGGTTCCCAACATCCGACAAACAAAATGTGCTTCCTGGTCTGGATCAGACTTAACAACAGCGTTATCTCTGGTGGGAACAAGTTCGTACTGCGTCACAACAACAATACAGGAATCCGAGTCGACRAGAAATAATGAAAAAAATTGGGAACACGGTACAAAACGAACAGCCAATGATGTTAGAGGCGATAACGTAAATCAAAACACAACTTTGACGGATTTAACACCAGGTTTGTGAAAGAACGTGTATTATCAAATGTCGTTTGTTAACGTTTTCATGATAGGCATGATTTATTTACTTTATCCGAATGAAGCACTTATTTATCATCGCATTATTATGCATAATCTCTTAGTGTCTCCTCTAAATCCAAATATTTCAATATATTTTTATATNTATCTGTCTGTATATTTCGTTAATTAATGAATATCAAAGTGTTTGAATTTGAAAACACGCGGCGCGTCACTACACATATGGCGAAACATTACACTTTAACGCGTGGAGAGAAAGAGTTTTGAAATCCAATTTAATCACGTCGCGGAGTCACCAATATGGGGTAATCGTATTCTAATTTATCATAAGATTGTCCATTTATTACAAAATTCACTATATTTATTACAGCGTCTTATCCAAAAATAGTTATTTTACGTTTTTAAAGTTTGACGATAAAGTTGGATGAAAGTACGATGGAGCGCTAAACATGTGGTCCGTTTCCTCGAGTGGTTGTAGTAAAAGAGAAAGAGTCGTCTGTGCGTGGCTGGAGTGTCTGTTTTCTACGGCGTCGTAATGGCCGACTCATTGAGTCGTCACGCCGCGTAATGGCTGGTGAGTGCCGGTCGTTGGAGAGAGATGGCAGATGGGTGCTGTTAGCAAAATCAGCTGTGGGCTGGCGTGGCGTAGTTGCCACATATGTATACAAATTGACAATTCGTTAGCCGTTAGGAAAACGTCAATTGGAAATTGAGTTTAAATAGAAGTACATATACATATGTTGAAATTTTGTATAATACATATTAGTGTAATTAATAACTTTGTATTGTGTATATCGTTTATATTAAAAACCAAATAAGTGTTGTTGCTGAAAAAAGCAGGAGTTATGTGCTGTCTTCGGAGGTTCCGAAAAAAGTGTCTTTTTTAGGTAAACTATTGTCGTTTTTTTTTAATGGGAAATTGACAATTTTCAACCAATCAAAAAGATCGTACAACATTGTATAGTAAATAATATACTATAGAATACTCAGTTTCAATTTGAAGTCGATTGGTCGATATCTCGCTGAGTTACTATCAAAAAAAAAAAATGAAATAAACCCGCTTTTTTGAAAGTGTGACACTGGTATAGCCCCTTAATGCATATTAGTTCTTATGCATACATAAAAGTGTGCATTATAAAAAATTAAAATCTCTTTTTTATTAATTCAAAAACATTTTTTTGCCACATGTGTATTATCTACAGGCAGCCTTTCCACCAGTACAAACTACCCAAGTGAAGTGGTTATGTTTTTTTTCGGGATGGCCTACGGAATACAGATATAGTTAAGAACTTTTTTTAAGTATAATGAAAACTATATTAGTTTTAATTAGGTTAAAGAACAAAGGGCTTAAAACATTTTTGTTACGAAAATGTTTTGTTATAAACATAATTCATTAAGTAAATATTATATTAACTCATAGGAGCGTAGTTATACAAAATATGGCTACGTGTTACTTTTAAATTATCAGTACCATAAATAGTATTAATTACTTAAGGTAATTCATTTTGTTGGATGGAGTCATGTGTAGAAGTTCACGCAAGTGAGGAAAGTTTTCTGATCGCCATTCACTTGGAAGTGGCCAGAAACGATTCTTTTACATATGACTCAAGCACCTCACGACTTCCGGTCCTTGACCAAGTATCCTCTGGGTAGCCTAAGAACATCCGTTTGAAGGTGAGCTAAAGTGAGAAGGCGAA